TTTTTGTAATAATTTATCTGAAACATGTTGGAATTCATCTGGAAATCTGACACCGCCACACACATGAAAAAACCGTCAAGTTTAATTGCGTTTCAGGTTCAGTCTGTGGGTCTCCGAATATCCAAAGCCAAAATAGGTGGACTTGTTTAGATGCCTGGGGTATTTTGCCTACCTTTAAGTGGAACTCATTGTCTGTCCTCCACTATATTAACACATCCTTATCACGCAGACATCTTCCATGACTTATTGGTTATATGTATTGCCAAGCACAGACGTAAACCAAGAAGCTATTAACTTGGCTGTAAATAAAATGAAGCAATGAAACACTAAATTAAAGCCATACAAATGAGTCTACCTTAGCTAGCTTCTCTCATTGAAGAAGTAACTATGTAGCAGTGGGGAATTTATATGTTTAAAAAATATCAAAGTTAGTCTTTTGTCACAATAGTATAGGTATCATTTAGTGCTATTCTTCATCCCTTAAAATACCATTACTTTTTAAATGTTCTTGTACATAATACGCTTTATAAAAATCTACTCTCTAATTACTAGATTGGATTATTTATATACTCGTTTGTACGATGAATATAGCTTATCACTGGCGGAAAATGTTAGTAATAAAATGCCCACACATGAGGTAGCGCGACGCGGGTAGGTTAACGGTTGACAATACGTTAACTAGCGTTGCTAACTAAGCTCTACCGCTCATAGCAGATTTATTCTAACCGTAAAACCAGTTATTACGTTATACTCGCCTACATATAAATTGCTCGAATCGTTTCAGACCGCAGCCGAACCACAATTTGTGAACTGCAGTTTTGAATTCTCCTAACAATATTGCGCAGAACTTATGTGTTTCCAGTACAAAAGTTAATTCGATTACCTGCAACAATGTTAGCGGGTCCGTTGATCAAATGGTAGTGATAATCAAAAAATTCAACGAAAAATGCCCATCGGGTGCAACATGTTTCTTGATTTTTTTTTAAATGTTGACATGACTTGACTTCGTCAAAATTTGGATATTTAATGGGTTGTAATAAATCCGGGAACAGACGAAAAAACCGTGAAGTTTGGATATATTATAGAGTTTGGATATATTATAGAGTTTGGATCCATAGACTGAAATCTATGGATCTCTGAATATCCGAAGCCGAAGTAGGTCGATAGCGCACCTTGTTTAGATGTTATATTGCTGAGGTATTTCACATTACATTAAGTGAACTCCATGCTCGCCTGTTTTCCTGTTTCTTAATAATAATTTGAAATATTTTACGTAATAAAGGTTCGTTTTAATTTGATGTCAATTATCTTTCTTACAATTACACACACATACAGAACAGGATCCCTTGTATATTTTTTCCCTTGATTACTATCGACCTGAATTCCTGAATAACTTCATTTCAATGAGTCCACCAACAATTCTCTACAAAAAACCTCAATTGTGTTAGCTAACAAAGGTTAAATGAAACTAGACACAATATGTCATCTTGATGTTTAATCTTATTACATTTTCATATTAAGCTTTATTTTAAACAATCATTTATAATACAGTTTGAGTTTCGAACGGTTTAAAAGTATTATTATATGTAGCGTATACTAATTGTTTTATCTACGGATACTACTTTAAAATAATGATTTACTTACTAGCTGTGTCCGCGTGGTATAGTTATATTTGGCAACAAACAACCTCCTTAGCTAGATTCTATCTGCTACCCGCTGCTCCTGCGCGTTCAGACAAACAAACTCTTCAGCTTTATAATATTACTAACTTCGCCAGCGACTTCGTCCGCGAGAATCGTTTATTTTGGGCATCCAAATTTGTCTTTGCAAACCCCTTCATCTTTATAAACTAAAGCTGTTAAGTGTTACCCACGACGTCGGTCGCCGCCCTTCCGGTCGTTCTTGCACGGTAATCTTATAAGATAGATATATAGTATCGCGGACTTTTTTTAGATCATTTATAGAGAAATATTTTTTATACATATTTTTTAATATCTTAAACCGTTTTTGCAGCATACGCTTTGGAAAACCATAATGATGAATAATTTTCACATTTTTCGTTGTATCTTCGCTTGTATATAGTCACATTTATTAAATTTTTAGATTGTATTCGTCATAGCACAATATTTTATAGCCTTCCTCGATAAATGCTCTATCCATAACAAAAATAATTTTTCTATTCGAATCCGTAGTTCCTGAGACTAGCGCGTTCAAACACACAAAGAAACTCTTCAGCTTTATATATTAGTATAGATTTATATATTGTTTTCTTTTTACTCAGTCTACAACGAGAACAATCTCTTAGTGCAAGAGTTTAATATTGAGATGATGCTAATATAATATTTAATAGTATATTTATTTATGCTACATACCGTATCTTTTGTAAACACCTTTTTTATTTGGTATTGACAACTCAAGGTTTTATCGGCAATAAAACTTACTATTTATACAAAAATAAACAGAGTAAAACAAAAAACTTTAAACATTTAAATCTAAGAAAACAACTCCTCTTCAACTACTTCACTGTAAAGCTATTAATATCTGCAACTCTCTCTCTATTGATATCAAAAAGCTCAATCTGACCGTACTTTTGAAACCTCAGTTTTCCATTTTCAGTTCTTTCTCTTTCACGATCCTCCGTAGCACCACCCCTATAAGGATTCTTTTTTCTTGGAAGAGAACGCTTTTTAGCAATAAGGTTGCCTTCTATTTATAAGCTAGATCAAAAGTTATTATTCATGTAAACCATTGCTGTGGTGTTTAATAAAGCAAAATAAATAAATAACAGGTACTTGCTAACCTAATTTTAAATAGTGGGGGGGGGGGGTAATGAAAGGTTTTTGTTGTTTTGTAAAACATTTACTTGATTAAAATAAATATGTTCCATGCATACGTTTTCGTTAGCAACTTTTCCGATTAGTAACTTTTCTTATTTGTAACTTCTAACTACATTTAATGTGTGTTGGTGGAACTTTCACATTGTTTAAAGGTTTCTTTTATTGATGATCTTACTGATGGCTTTCATTTTCTTTTTTATGCGTTTGTACACATCTTAAATTGGTATAACGTGTAATCGTGTATGTAGTGTAGACGAGATAAACTCATAAGTACTCTCATATATAAAACAACATTTTTTTTGAAAGTTTAACATTCTCTATTGTATTATATATATTGGTTAATACAGCCGATTTCAGGTGTATATACTAGATGTTTACTAATCTCACTCATTTTGGACCAATCGACCAATTTTCCACAAAATTCATATATTTATCAACTTGGTTTATAATTTTGGCAGCTCTAATTTTTAATAAAGACAAATACAAGCGTGCAATAGGTATTTTACGTTTCATCAATATTATAATGCGGAGCGATAATTGCAACTTTTGAAAAGGTCTAAATATAATAAAGAATCTTGTCTCGAAATCTGTCTATTAAGATATCTCGAAGTGACGACATTCTTCATAGCCCTGTGCCAGCATTGTCAAAATCAATTGTGTGAGGCTTTCACGGCCACCGTTCAGCATATCATTGTTTTTTGGCTTGTGTTGAGAACCCCTAATCGCTTACGTCGGCCGATCAACCTCTAAAAACAATGATATTGTCAGGATCACTTTTAATTCCCTTATTTACATAGTTAGCATAGGCCACGAATATATCTCTCAATCATATGTTGATAAACACAACGTAATAATATATTATAGAGCCAGGAATATTGCTGTCAGATTAGTTGATTTCCTTATCTATTGAGATTGAGTTACGACGTGTATCGACTATTGAAGATGCTTATTACTAGTATAATGATAATATACAAATATATATACTAAACAGTATATTTATATTACAGTCTTAGTGTAGAGCAAGTGGTACAATATTATAGTTTTTGTTAAAAACTTAAGATTTTGACGACTAATAAAGTCAATTTATCTTAATACAGAAATAAAAAAAACACGAGGTTACGCATAAACAATTAATATCTCATGCAGCTGATGTAAAACGTTGCCTGAAAGAGATCACTCTATAGCGATAAGGCCGCCCATTGCACTCCATAACTTGTAAGATTAATTGATCTTTAAAAGTTAGAAGAATATTTTAAAGAAAACATAATACTTTGTGTTTGTGTGTGTTGAAATAAATAATAAATAAAATGAATAAAACTGTACTGCTCAGGTCTTTTACATAACCAAGCAAATCATTTTATAGTAAGTTCATAGGCATGTCCTCTTTATTTTATATTTTCTTTCTGGCGAAATATTAACTCGTACTGAAATATGCAAATTTGGTGGAATCTATACATTAATTTTCAGCTTGCCGTTAAGTAATCCACACGTACGTACTGGCATATTTTTGTAAGCCTTCTCTGATGCGGAGTTAGGGAATATCCCTTGTTCGCCATAAAATGTGACTGATAAGCCTACACAGAAATAACATTCTACCCTCGTATTTGTTACAAATCCTTTACAAGATAACATGATAAGTGCTGCACGAGTGGACTTTTTATTAGCTTTGGAAATGAGTTATGCGAGGAAACTTCTATTGTATCATGAAAAATATTGATGATCCATAAACAAAACTTGTGTACCAAGTGTTAGTATTGAGGTACATCAGTCCACTATCCACTATATACATATAAGCATATATATTATATAAATAAATCTAGAAGTATAACATATTACTTATAAAATCGAGCAATTTATTTTTATACTTATTAATAAAATTAACTCCTGGGGATGAGAAAAGAAAGAGGAAGACTCCAGTAAAAATTCGACGACGACATTCAAGAGGTAGCAGGAGTCATTTAGAATGTTGGCTCAAAATAGAATAGAAGCTTTTGGAAAACTTAGTGCACTTTAAATTCTGTCTCTCAACTTCTTCATACGATAAAGGGGTATTATAATTATTATTCTAAACTAAAATAAAACAAACAAGTATACAATGAAATTTTATTTCCAATTAACTATTTATAATATTTAAAACCATACTATTTACAATAATTATATTTATCACGTGGGCAATAGAATTTGCGTGAATTGTTCACTTAAAAGGCCTTGGACCCTAATGTTATGTGCTAGTGTTACGAAAGTCACCGTGACTGCGGATAACGGCGACTGTGATAAAATAACTGTTATAATTAACAGTGTAATTACGATGACTTTAGTCGGTCTGTGAATTGAATTCCCTGCGTGCAGCTCGGCTAGGCTTTCTTCTGGAACAAATGACATAGTGTTAGTTTATATTCATAGAAAATGGGAATTTGAAGGACTCCAATCCCTATAAGTAACCAATTTATACCGCATGTTTCCAATTGTATGCAGAATTCTTTGGAATTACATATTATTATATTTCGAATAAAAACAATTTGCAAATATCATCTCCTAAACCAAACTTTATATATCGCACATTCGACTTTGTCTGTTAAAAATAAAGGCGCAAAGTCAATTTCTAAAGAAGTTAACAAGTACGCCGTGAATAGCAGTATTAGAGAAAAGCGACGTCTTTAGCTTCAACTACCCTCAATTCTCAGAAATCCTTCTTCATTTTCCTACTTATTTGACGTTTGAACAAATTGAACTTGTGTATTTTTGGAGAGTGATGATAAAGTGATTCATAATTGGCGTACAAGAACCTAAGAGTGTTTAATTTAGGTAAAAGGACTATTAACCACAGGGGATATTCAGTTTTATAATACTATTATGATCTAATTATTTAAGATTATCCTTACTTTTTTAAAGAAAATAAACAATATATATTACGTGTAATAAAGTTTGTTTAAGCAATTAGTGTGTGACAAAGTTATGTGTAAATTATAAGCACATTTATTTTGTTCCAATTGCACTCATTGCGTTTTCTGTAGTTTAAACAATGACGGTAGTTTGTGTGTATTGAAGTAATAAGTTACCGTTGAGAACGTGCACAGCGACAGTGTGTAGCTTCGCTCCGCGGACGGCGCACGTGTAGTTCCCCGCGTCACTGCTATTCACACGTGCAAGCCGCAATACACTATCGGCGCCTCCAGGCACTTGCTCTGTTTTTACACTGAAAAAATAAATTAAAAATACATAATAATGTGATACGACATAACTCCATTTATCAAGGTGCATGATTAAAAACTTTAGCTAATTTAAAAAAAAAAATTTTTTTTCAAATTTTTTTGCAAGTGTTATTATTATATAAGTGAACAAATCTATTTATTAAATTTACGTGTCATCAGATGTTTTTAAATATATATTAAAAACATCTGATGACGCGAATGGGACTTCAACTAGCATCCATAGCGATCCGTGTTGCTGAAATACTAGTAAAGATATTTAACTTATTTAAAAGCATTTTTTTATTAATTTATTTTCTTTACGATGAAAAGTGAACTCAAGCTAAATCTAAGTATAAATATTTCAATCCAAATAATTGTATTGTACAAGACTTGCTTGCTTGGATTGGATCGAGAATGTATGTATGTGCCACTTGTGATCATAACAATTCGCTTCGCTGTTGGTTTAATCTCCCGTCCTTTCATTTTTAATTTAATTGGTAATGTAATGGCTAAATCGACATGTGGTTGTTTAAATTGTCCGGGTATAGGTCAATCTGTAGTGTTTTATTAATTAATAGTCACTGTAAATTAATAGTATATAAGTAAATATACGAAAACAAACCAACTAAATAAATATTTTTTTGGCACCGATACTAAAGTTGAATTCCCACACTAATCTCCCATGAAACCCTAACAAATAAGGAAACTGAAGAGCAAATAGTGATTTTATTTGCTCAGCGTTCATCCGTTTAGACATGAGCTCTATTCCAATAGGAATTCGCACAAAGAAGACTTTAAGAGGTTTTAGTGTTTCTGAAAGAGAAATAGAATTAGAGTTTTAATACATTATATAGCTATCTACAACTGTTGCAGAGACGCGAGAGACGTGAAATCTATTTCTGACTGAAACTTACAGATTATTGAAAAAATACACTTTACGTATAGATTATATAATTTCTAAAAAAAATAATAATTTTTATATATTTATTAATTTAATTATGAACTACTTCCCCACGTAATAAAGTAACAAATATATTTCACGTTTGAAACTGTTATTTTTTCACTAGGATATTACTCTAAAAAATCAAACGTGGCTAAGAATAGTCTATTATCGTGGCACGAAGGTTCCTTTTTCTCAACTTAAAGATATCTTATTAAGTACGTGATACATAACTAAAAAAATACTATCAGGGGTATTAAGTATGTTTAATGCTCCTTTATTCATTCTTCATTCAGTCTTTGTGTTCATCGTACCGTAGTTTTAAAAATAATTACCTGCTTGTTTGTGTATTAAACAGAAAATAAACAAAGGTACATTAAATTTGACTCGACAATACGGAAGAGCTATAAATAGCTCAAATTATCAATGGTTCAAAAATGTCTCCCTAACGTTCGCGTAATAAAAAGTCAAACAAATTTTCCGCTGAAAATCAGGCAAATGATTTCAGGAAATCTTATGAAAGTATTAACAATTTATTTAGTAAAAACATTAAGGCTTGATTTCTCAAGAGACGGCTTTTGGCTTAATAGGATTCTTAAAATATTAATTTCAACATCTCGGCATTACTTGTTCAATTCGTTCTTTTTAAGATGCTCATTAATTTATAATTTTTCTTTTATTATAAAAATCCTTTATTGGACATTGTATTGATATAATTGATTAGATAATACGTTACCTAGCAACCACTGAGGTAATAATATTTAGCAAATAAATTAAAAATAAGTAAAGGTGTTTTATTTAAATGTGTAGTACTCGCTTACTACACAAGACAATACATAGTTATTTTTAAATTTAGTAATTCAATACAACAAGCCAGTTAATTAATTCTTCTTTATTATACTTATGACTTAAAATGTAATAATCAATATCTTTACTATTATTAAGGTTTATAAGTAGACATATCTATGAAAAACACAAAATGTACGCTAGATATCTTTTTATTATCAAATATTATAATTCATTATTTAAATATAAATATATATATATATATATATATGGAAATATATATATATATATATATACATTCTTTTAGCTGTAGTGAGGATTAGATTGAATATAAAAATCAAAGCCTGATTACAAGTAAAAGCTGAATAGATGTAGATTGAAAACCCATGCTTTTGTTAACGTGATTTGAAATTCGAACATTATTATGAGTGGACCCAATTTTAACATACAGTTATTTGACCGTTTAAAATACATTTGTATTATATGTACATTGAATGTGCGATATATTAGCGCGACGTGATGGTAACATATTCAAAGACTCCAAAAAAAGGCTTTGTTATTTATCAGCTTTCAAAAGACACGGTTAAGCTTTTTACGAAGCTTTATCGTGCCTGTAACTTCTCTTGTGGAAGCAATATTTTTGAAAGCTTTTATTTTTCATTCAGTATTATTGGGAAATAAATATGATATGCCCTTCGTGAACGTCTAACGATCAAAATATGTAATAGAATTTATTAATGATAATACTTTTAGATTTGTTTGATGATTCTCTTGTGTAGCTTTTTTATATTTTTTGGTTCCTTTACGTGCAACTGTAGTTACATCTTATGTTTTACACAAATGTGCGTATAATGTACACATGTATTCCACTATGTCAATTAGTTGACAGTTTTTTCATATATAAAGAGACTAGCGGCCCTGTCCCGGCTTCGCACGTGTAGATATAAATCGGTACAGATATTTAAATTATAAGCATGCTAATTAAAACGACCATGAATCACTAAATTAGAATAAAAATGTATTGCGCGTCCTAATTGTTAAAAAACCTGCGAGCGTTCAGCGTTAGAGTCCCGTGCACGCGTTCGCGAATGCCTAGCTCTATTTCCTTCAAGTCGCTGCGACGATCTTGCACTTTGTTCTGAAAGAGGAAACTGAACAATCGATCGAATCGACGATAGATTCTCTGGCTCGCGATTGGGACGCGTACAATTTAACACTTTCCAGACGATCATTTTAGGAAGAAGACTAAAAAAAAACTCGAAAGATTCAATGTCGTTCGCGCCGACTGCGTAAGGAGCCCACTGTCCCTCTAGCGTAGAAATAGTTACTCGATGCGCGGCGTGGCGGCCGCCGCCGGCATGTATTTTTATTTTAATTTCATGATATCTTTTGAGTGGAATGTCCGATTTCAATAATTAAAAAAGTAAACATCAGGTATTGAGACATTCTTGAATATTAAATTATTTATTTGGATAAAAATTTATAAATGGTATGGATAACACGGTCTGATTTTGATCGGCATTTCTATTAATTTGTTAAATGTAAAAAAGTAGTTATAGCGACGTAACTACAATAGTTAGACATATGCTCTTGCTATATTTTTTGTAGATATTGTATATTGAATGTATATTTTATAATATTGTCAAACATTTTTTTGTACAATCATTAATACTTTTCGCAGCGTACGCGAAGAAAGACATTTTACGGCTAATTCTTTTACGCCTTCCGTTACTTTTAGTAAGAATGTCTATAGATGTCTATAGTAATCAAGTACTAAGTATATCCTATGTTACTCAGTGATAATGTAGCTTTCTAATGAAAAAATAATTATTAAAATCGGTCCAGTACTTTTTGAGTTTATCCGTTACATACAAAAATACAAATCTTTCCTCTTTATAATATTAGTATAGATTAGTATAGAAGTATAGATGACATCAGATGTACTATTAAGGGTGGATCAAGATGTATTATTTTATTACATAATTTGTAAAAAACTAATGATAACTGTAGTTAAATAATGGTGAACTATAACTACTAATAATGGTGAGCAAAATACGACCATTGCTGTCGTATTAAGTACTTTCTCTAGGTAACGCGAGTAGTACACATTGAAATAAAATACTTTTAACTGTTTAAAGATGGTTTAAAGAAGGATACTAAAGATTTTTACCCAAATCAGTAAAAAAGCGTGCATTGTAGTTATTTTTTTTTAGACCATACCTTATTCCACCTCTTGATGTGTCAGAATTCAGAGCTTTTCCCTCATGTAGCCAAGTGAGTACTGCCGGAGTGTCCACGTAGCGGGCTCGACAGACCAGGGCTAGTGTTGACTCAGCTTCGTAGTATTTCTCCAGAAGGGGTGCTCCAGCTTCGTCTACGACCCACACTTGTGGGGCTATGAAGAATTAAGACATACACATATTAATATATAAAACTGATTCCATAAATAAAAGTAGTTTATTAGTGAACCCACGTTGAAAATAACAAGACACCTTTTTAAATGTGTATTTATTTTTTTTAAACTTTGGTACACAGAACAACCTACAACAATGGAATTTTATAACTATAGAGTGTACCGGGCGGCCTTGGCTATAAGTGATTTCTTTCAGGTATCCCGATTAGAAAGAAACTTAAGTACAATAAATTACATGTCAGAGGTGAGAAATTACTGACCACTCAATAAATATACAACATAAATGTAAAATAATTATAATAATAACCCATTAAAAAAAAGAGGAACTTTAATCTAGAAAGAAGAATATAATAACGGTAGAACACGCTTATGTAGGAGGCTTTTGAAAGAAGCCAAGAAAGGGGAGAGTGTTTTTTTTTAAGCAACGACGAATGTATTTACTTGGATTACTCACTATTAACGTGCAGATAAGTTCTGCTGACTCTAGGCGGATGTGTGGAGATCTGGCATTCGTATACTCCCTCGTCCTCCGGCTTCACTTCCCTCACGAGGAGCTTCCAGTTGCCAGGGTACCTCCGAGCCACTGTCACCCGGTTATCAGCGGCGTAAGTGACAGCGCCAACTGTCAAGAGTTCAGGTATCTCCTCTCTGCCTCGACGGCGTACCCATGATACCTAATAAATAGATTATAGAATCTTGAAGGGCCCTTTGGTACAATGGTATCAATAGAAGTATTGCCAATAATCGAGTTCGATCCTCATCTGAATCAATATGTTTCTAATCAATTTATAATTTTTCTAAAAGTTAGACTTTAAAAAATTGTGTAAAGCTTTCACGGCCATCGTTCAGCATATGATTGTCTTTCGGGCTGTTCGGCCGATGTGAGCGAGGATAGGTTCTCGACGTTTCGCCATCACGTGTGGACGGCATCGAACAATTAATTCTTCGATTCGAATTAAAGTAGCTTGTAAGTTTATTGAAAATGTAAAGTTGTGAGTATAAATAAATAAAATAAATAAATAAATTATTCGAGCAATCGAGGAGTTAACATCTCCTGATGATGCTGTCCACACGTGATGGCGAAACGTCGAGAACCTCTTCTCGCTCACATCGGCCGAACAGCCCAAAAGACAATGATATGATGTTAGACTTTGTGCGAAAAATCTGGATTTTAAATGATTGGTAGAAATATCCACGTGCAGCACGCAACGTTGTATACACAAGTCAACGCCAGTTCAGCAATAATAGTTGGTCCCCAAATTTGTCGTCCGGAAAAATCATCCTCCCTAGGACTACTGAGCTTACTAGTAAATTCTCCACAATCTGTCGCGCTCCCAAAAATATTTTTTTTTTTCGTCATAGATCGGATCTATGTCGTGACAGAGAAGCATTGCGCACACTTGATCGAAATGAAATACCCAATCCATATAACATCTTAACAAGATTCGCTGTCAATATATTTCTACTGTATGTACTCTCTATGTATATTTTAGAGATTATTATTCTCGTATGACTTAAATCTCAATCGTGGGTCAATATCCACGAGCTATGATAACTATATAATAAATTTCACTGTTACAGTCTTCAAGCTAACAACGAGAGCTTACCAGACAATCTTGTTTATTAACAACTACCTTCCGAAGTGTTCTTAAGACTTGGCAATGTTAAATTAACAATTGTATTGTTTCAGCGTTCTACAAACTAAACTGAACCAAAAACTTTATTATTTCAAATCCAAATACAGAGTGCTCTTACAGCTTAATTTCCCTATGCAATGGAAATGATATTGTTTTATTGCGCCAGTTTTGTTTTGTTTGAAATTTTAGGTAACTGATGCCCCTTCAATGCTTTTATATTGCATTCTTATATCTTTATTTAAACTTACTAATACTAACGTTAAATCAGACGAAAAGTATAGTCCGTGATAATTTCTTATTTCACAAATTTAAGATTTACTTTGATACTAACACTAACTATTTATAGGGCGATAATGATTACGAATCCTTGTATTTAGTCTCTAATTTCAAGTATAAGTCTAACTCTAATGTAATGCTTGACTTACATTAGTACCAGAATGTTTATATCCGATTACATTTTTATACGTGCTTCGTACCTTAGAATCTAAAATTTTACATGTGTTATCTACTAAAACATATTCAGCCAAATTTAGGTGTTTTATCATATAATTAAACTCTCTTACGACATTCAAGTCCTAGCAGTGTATCTCAAAGTCTAAAGGTTTCATTGTAAACTATTTTTATTGAATTGATAATTTAGACTTTAACAAATTACAATTTCTTCGTCGTTGTTGGTAGTGTGATACCAAATAAATATAGAACATAAGCAAAGTATTCATAGAAAGGTAAATATTAATAAAGACGCGCGTTTTATCGCGTTTTGGTTCTAGTCAGTGGATTTCCGATTATACAAAGCCTGAATTAGTCAACAGCACCTCGTGTTATATTTTATATGGCTTGGGTATTTCATACATTTTTGTACTTATAAAAAAGACGTGTGTGTTTTACTGATATATTAACATGTAAAAAAGTAAGTTGCAAAGTCGTTCCTTTACTGAGACAGGATGTGCAAGTGTATCTTCGAAATACGTTGTTTACACAACAAACAGTGAACAATGAGAAAAAAGCAATTTATCTTCGGGTAATTATGGAAATGAGTGTTTCGAGAGAATAACGTTACATTTTATATGTACTGTAAAGAGAAAGGGTACAAGTAAATGAATACAAAAATAACAGCAACAAAATTGTTCCCGAATTGGGTTTTTCCTGCGTCACGGTTAAAAATTCTGGTTAGTTTGATTATATTGTAGGGGTGTGATAATGTTTTAACACAGTGCAATAAAAAAACGGACTACAAATAACCCTTTGGACAAAGTAATGCGTTTTTCAATTTAATTAAATAAGAATGAATTTATTTTTTTAAGTCGTATGATGAATCAACTAAATTAAAAACTTTTAACCGTATAAAACGCGAATGCTTATAGCTACGGTGAATGGCATAACCGCGAATGGCCTATAACAACCGAAACGTCGGGCTGTAGTTTTAATTGTAAGTAAGTTAACTTATATATGTAAGTGTTATATTAAAATGTGTGCTACTAGCGTGAATCACTTCTTAAAATAAATTTGAATTATAACATTAAATAAAAAAGTGGCGTTTGACAACCCTAGAGGTCTATTTGCGGGAGAAGCATTGTAAGTGGCTGGATGCTAGGTTTTAACTAGCGAAGTTAAATTGTAATTGCTTGGTATAGGACTCTCAGAGTACAGAAATACTAGTGGCAACAAAAAACTAACTTCTGGTACGTTCTGCTTCCAGCAGTAATTGGAACACAATATGTTACAAGAACTTTTATTGAACTTGAAAAGTAGCATGTAATTACGGTTAAATTATATGTATGTTCAGGAGCAGATCTATTTCCGTGTTCAATTCACTTGAATCTTGTCAGAAATCTGCCGAACCGAATGATCGTGTTTCCCCAGGATTCGAACTCAGAACGTGTCGAGCTTAAACATGGGGTCAGATCACATGTAATATTTGCTGCGATGTTGTATGTAATTTTACTCGTATTGTTGCTCTTGAATAGTTGCTGTAAAGTTTGAGTTCAGGCACTAGATTTAGGTAAAATCCCTTAAAAAGACATATATTATTTCAAAAGAGTAGGTGTAAGAAATTAACTTTATCAATTAATTATAAAATATTATATATATTATAACATAGAAATGGTTTATATAAATAAATACTTAAGAACTTTCTTAAAAATAAAAAACGCCCTTATCGCTAAAAAGCGACTTATCTAAGGCCTGAAGGGACAAAAAATTTCGATAATTGTAGCTAACGAGGACAGTACAGAGAGTTAATTAAGAGCTAAAAAGGTAATGTTTGATAACTGGAAGTTTAAAAACTACGAGGAGATTGAGTTTTTTTGTTAAAATACACTTTTTATCTTTAGGAAATTAATTTACTTTTCTAAAGTTTTCGTCAAGTGTATTCAGAAAAAATTCTGATCATTATTGATATATAGGCAGGCACTAAATCACCTAAACCGAATTAACATAACAATATTACAATAAAACCCCCACAAAACAAACGTACGCCTTTATACTTTTAGTATGGTAATATCTTTATCTTTCGCAGCATTGCGTACAACTTCAAGTACACAAAAACAGAGTAGCCTCAACCATAAAACGTTAGAAGCTATTTTCTTTTCCTCCCACGATAAATCCGCCGAATAATTCAGTCCGTATAAGAGGCAAAAGGCGAGGAAGCCGTTTTGTCTAAAACAACATCTTCTTATCAGCGAAATATTTTACGAAAGCCTCTGTAATTGGACTAAAGGAATCCATGTTGGGCTGGAAGCGATCGCTGTGGCATAAATTAATTTTATGTATCTTAATAGGAAACTAAAATTACACTCTAAAGTGCCAAAAATTGTCAAGCGATTAGACATTTAAACAGTATTGAGAACTTTAAGAAAACCACATATGGTTTTCTTAATTAAAAATAATTCGCATACGAATAGTTTTTTATCTGTGTTCCGGACGTTGTGGTCCGGAATTTCGATATTCCCACCACGCATTTAATGTCCACATTTTCCAGACGGGGTTTAACATGTATATATGTAATAGAAATTAGAAACATGTAGAGTCTATTGCGAAATTGCTATCGATAAATTTAGCTAATGTTGTTGAATTATGATTATCATCGATCTCGTCAGTAAGTACCGCCTCATCTGTCTTATTGACAGATGTCACACGTCACATATCGTCGAATTTTGGATCTAGCACTTTTGCCAAACAATGCTGGTCTTCACTGTACACCGAACTATACTGGATCTTTACTTATGCAATATCGATGTAGCGTAGGGTATCAGGAAAATATCATTTGGAATACCTAAAGAGCCTTTGACGCGGATAATAATATTTTTTTCTTTTTAAGCACAATCTCGGAACAGCATCAAACACATTATCTGTGATGTAAGAGAATCGATCTCCGTTCGAGATTCTGGGAAATTGATGTCAAGATGAATGACACGAGTATTCCAATACGTGGATATTTTATGCCTGAGATTTTGACTGATCCGCATTAGGGAAAATTATTTTTGGAGTACAGCGATCATCCTTTATCTAAAATGAAAAAATCTTAGGAGTAGTATATTTGGATTTTTTTCAACTTGCTGGTAACAAACTTAAACAAAGGTTGTCTATCTTACTATAAAACTTAAGAGGTTGTTTGTTCGTTTAGTTAATTGCACTAGTCATGAACTACAGGTACGAATTAAGAAATCTTTCGTCAAACTACATTTGACGATTTGAAAAATAGGCTTATACAAAATATTCGACTAATATTGTGAGGTAGGCAATAAGAGTGAAACGACTATAAACATGTAAATATTATGCATTGTAGTCTTTTATTTTCGTTTTTTTAATTTGCAGTTCGCTCACAATTTGTAATTATTGCACTTGTCATTACCATTCGCTTAGGTTCATAGACATACAAACAAATTCTAAAAACCGAAAGTGGTCAATACCATTCGTATCCAACCGTACAATAAAATAATCACTATTAACGAAATATACAATATATCCTGTTATTAATGAACAAAGCTTTTAAAACGATAATGGAAAATATATTTCCTTCCTAATTGGCCTCCAGCGTAAAATAAGATTTAACAATGACGGCCATTAGTGTAATTGGCAGAAATTGTTGAAACAAAGGTTATCACAGATGTCGTTGGTGGATGGTATTGGCAGTTCCGCGGTTTAATAACAAGATGTTTTGTGAACTGGTGTTTGTTGGAGAGGATAATAGTTTAGTTATCGAAGACTATTGAGACTTCAGAAGGTTTTAACATAACTTGTTGTCTGTGTTACACAAGTGTCATTTAGTATTTAAACGTCTAACATAGCTATTGTGTATTTTATTTGTGGTTGTTATCGGGTTAAAATATGAATTTTAAAGGCTTAATCAATTATTTATAGTTTAGTTCAGGTTTTAAATTGTTATGTTTACAAATTTTACGTATTGATTTTAATTTTGCAGAAAATTATAAATTCGTATGGATAGTGACGTGAAAACAATGTATGACCTCTCAGGGAACAAGACAGGGCCCCATAAAACTTATACCATTGACCGCTAAAGCGATTTCTCTGTAACCATTTACTTATCTAGACGAATTCTGTCCAATCAATCTTAGTTTAAGTTGGCGGTAATTTCCAAATCCTCTTAAGTTTGAGGACGGTAAAAATTAATAAAGGCCCTTATCTTGTCTTGTACACAAAATACGGTGCCCGCGTAAATCTCCGGATAATCCGGGTGGAGCCTGTTCAATTTAACGGATAAGAAATTAATCTTGTGACATTCATTTTAGACTGTTTCGTGCAAATCGCTATAATTATAATCTTGAAATGGAAATTTAATCGCATTTTCGGAATTACAAATTGGATTGTTCATTGCGGAATATTTTTACCTCGAATCGTAGGTAGTGTTCATCGAGCGAAATTACAGTTCTACATTTTTGTGTCCGTTTGATTGATCGATTTATTTTAAAAGTAAGTAGCTGTTTTGTTTCTCCAAAATTCGAACCCATTACCTGTCCACCTTAAATTTTTTATTCATTGAATCACGAATAAACTTAAAATAATCATTTGGACAGTACTTATATTTACGTATATTGAAGTTTCAATTGTAAGTATATATCTATTATATATATATCTTGTGCTTAAACAGATTTCTTACGAGAACTTTTCATTCACTCCTTTAAGCAACATACTTAACTTCTATTTATAAGGCTGAAAGTCATATTGTTCAAGTAAACTGTGTTTTCTCGATACGAAAAATTATATAGACGAATAACAGATGAGACAAAAAGAGTTAAAAAGAGGATTTTATTACAAATGTGTTCATCTAAGATCGCAATATACTTTGCGTATGTGTGGCTTCATGCGTCCTAAAACTTTTTGTAAAAAATCCTCACCGTCTTATCCTGTAGGAGACTGATCCTGCAATTGAGATGGGCATCCTCTCCCAATTGCACCGTAATCTTAGTGATATTTCCGACTGGGACGTCCTCAAACGTCGGCCCGTATTTCCGATCGTGATCGAAGTATGACTTGACTGATACAACGTGTGGTACAACTTGTCGATCAACCTGTCGCCCAACGGTGTCCTCGGTCGGTTGCGGGACTTTGAAGGACTTTGTGCTGTCGATTGTCGAGTTGCCGAGGCGTAACATAATCGGGGCGGGCGCAATGCCGGTGCTGAGGGCGTAGTGTGGAGTCACTGTTGTGTCTTCGAGGGTTACGTTTTCTGAGAACAAGATTGTTTTACAGTTAATGTGGAATAAAACAGCTTAAACGGTTTAAAACACGAACTATGTTGGTTAAATAATTTTTACAAGGGGTTTCGGTAAATAAATTCTTTTTTCAGGATACACATGATATACTGGGGTAAAAATAGTTATTACCTGTAGTGAATTGGCAGACGACTATCTGTGAGAAAATGAACACACCGACGCCCCACATATCGTATGGCTGAGGCTTAGCCCCATTCGGGGCCTCATAATCTGAAACAAAAATTATTATATTAGAAAGACCTAAGTTCAAAATTTAAACCTTACACATCGTAAACAAAGACTAATAAAAGTACTAAATAACGCGTCAACTAAAAGTACAAATAATATAATAGTAAATAAAACAACTTCTCACGGTTTAATTTCCTAAGTAATGACATAGAATCCAACGTCTGTAGTAAAACTTAATACCTCATATAATTAGCGTTTTAAACCGTTATAATTGTTTTATTTATAATAATTACTTATTTAAATTAAAAATCGATTTTAGATAAAAAAAAATAACGACACGGGCCAGACTTGAACCGGCATCTCTCTAACTCTAACCAATTCAGCTACCGTATCCTACACATTGATCCTTGCACCTCTAACGCATTGTTATTTCGACCTTAACATTTGCGCATTAAGGTTTAATGTCTTATGAAAATCATCGAAGGTTTAAATAAAACACTTTAACGGTTTAAAACGCGATATATTAGTTAAACTTATTTGAAACTGATTTTTAACTTCGGCCCGACGTTTCGGATGCTTTGCAGCAGCCGTGGCCTCCCCGTGACCACTATATATAACTACTAACTAACTAACTAATAACTAATATATCGCGTTTTAAACCGTTAAAGTGTTTTATTTAAATGTGTACTACTCGCGTAAACTATAGACAGTATCATTGAAGGTTATGATTTTATTATTTATTTAATGCATGTGTAATGCATACAAATTATTTAATAAATTATAAATTGAAATAAATTACAACTCAGTTAGGACTTGAACCACAACAAGAAATCCACAGCGTTTCGTGCTGTTGCTCTAACCAATTGAGCTACCGTATCTGGCGACTCGGGCAGGACCGGATGTGGCGGTTCACGTCCTGCCCGACTGGTAAAGTTTTTTTTTTTTAAATTTATCGATTTTTAATTTATATTGTGCCAGCATGTGCAATATCATGTAAAAAATATTAAAGTATTCAAAATTATTGTTTAACTTCACATCACTCTAGCAACCACATTTGTCTGCGCTGAGCTTATCGCAATATGCAACGGGTTAGCAATTAATAGTTGAAACTTGGATGCTTTGACCTTTCAATAAACATCAAACTTAGTATAATAACACAAGTCACGAACACTTCAAACGTTGGCTACTGCTTTATAACATTCTGAGATTCTTGAATGCCCCGAGCACTTGTGAATGGAGTTCTTAGCCGAAGGCGAACTTACTTCTACTAAGATTCAGTACTTTCGAAAACTGTCGATACACGGCCACTTTTTATTATAAGTCTACAAATCTATAATGTCTTAAGTTTAAATACTGTCTATAGTTTACGCGAGTAGTACTACTCGCTAATAGTACTACATTTAAATAAAACATTTTAACGGTTTAAAACGCGATATATTAGTTAAACTTATTGGAAAATTATTTTTAACTTCGGCTCGTCGTTTCGGATGCTATGCAGCAGCCGTGGTTTAGGGGAAATCGATCGTTAAAGTGTTTTATTTAAATGTCTTAAGTTTGTTTATTTATTAGTAATTTCATAATTTACATAAGATTGTCTATAGTTCACGCAAGTACATAATTAAATAAAGCGATTTAAACGGTTTAAAACGTGAAATATCGCGAGTAGCTATAACACTTCTTGGTTTATAACTCAATACCTGTAGTGTCTGTGAGGGGTCAAAAAACTCCGTATCTGTATTAAGTGAAAACAAGCCACCCCACTACCACCACGGTATTAAGAAAACTCCATGCTTGTTTGTCCTCCTCTATCATAAAAAATGGTAGACACAAACATTTTCGTATACGTTGATTGAAGTCCTTTGAAGTTTCTCTGTCTGTTGCGGTCGTTGACAACCCTAAAGAACTAAGCACGTAAGTTGTTTCTATAAATATTTATGCCAGTAAACGCTATATCCAATACAGACGTCTGTCACAACGAGGATTATCTCGGATCTAGGATTATTTACTCTCTCTGTGTATTTCGTATAAAAGTTAAGGAAATCTTAACTATCTGTATTTGTGAAGAAGAAAAAACTAATATCTATCCCACTATGCGACGTGATTTTAAGCGTAAATAGATTTTTAAAAATTTATAACTTTTCTGGAACATGGAGGAATTTATCTATTATAGTAAATGGATATTAAATCAATGGTGGGAATGTCGAAGTTCCGTCCACAGATGAAAGCCATCAAGTTTAATGTGTGGATTTCCGAATATCCGAAAATAAAAAAAGGGCGCAAGCGCATCTTACTTAGATGTTATATGCCTAAAGTATTTTACTTTCCAATTCGCATTGATCGTCTGTAAAAAAGGCGTAAATAGCTGAAAATACGTTGAACTCTATTTCACTATTAATTCCGCCGTATTCCGTTTGACACATTGTGTTGACAAATCGAAAATAACTCAATAGGCGTGATTGGAAACGGAGACAAAACTCAATATCGTACATTTGCCCAGGGCTACAGGATTTCAAGCAAATCCTATCAACAATGTATCGGTAATTTGGGAATTTGAATATTACTGTGTACACGTATTATTTTGCCGATGCAGATTTTCTTTATTTGGTAATCTAATTCCTTTAATACCCCATGTCCCTTTGTTAGGGCCAAGGTTATCCACAGTGGATCGGATGGTTTATTGCCAAACAAAAAAATATGTTTTTTCACCCGCCATTTAAGTTAACTATTTTTAATAAAATCATTAAAATGTAAAATTACGTTAAAAAAACTTGATTAGAAAATGCAACTCGAGTAATGGGGAATAAAATTAATAAACCGTAATCCTATTGAAAAAATCACATTCACTTCAGTTGTAATATAAACTTACTTAGTATTAAGTCACAAACTTATCGAAAGATTGCTTGAATAAAGAACTTCTAATCTGTTAAAATTTTATTTGTTTTCTGTTATGTTCGTTAATGATGAAGCTATAAGTAAAGTAAAAATTTGAAAGTGACGACATTAAAACAGCAGTCGTGGGGCCTGTGAAGCGTCGGGTGTCGGGTCGTATTTAGAAATAAATTTACTTAAAGTTACGTTTAAGTGTAATTTTTATAAATGTTACGTTTGCTAACTACAGGCAAAATAAATAATTAAGTGAACGCAGAACAATTACGCCACAGCTAAGGTGATTCCGAAACACTTCGAGGTACAGTAACAACAATTTAGTACTTATTAAGACATAAATGGTTACCAAATGGAGCGACTGAGCTAGACCAGGTCGTTCTGGCTAATGGACAGGATAATACACGCACGTGATCCAAATGAAATTCCCGATTTCTTTTAGCACAGAGTACTTTCTGGAGATAGAAATACGAGAAAACTGAAACCAATTCTGACCTTTTTTAACCGATTGCGAAACAAAAAGATAGCGTCATTTAATAGTACTTTCAATCTATATCTGTATTCAAATACACAACTTAGGTACGCTATATATTTACATTACAAATATGTAACGTTATATACATACGTATATTGTTAACTTTGAAACTAAAACATAAAAATAGGACATATATATTAATCGCTGAATAACAGTTTTCAAAATACTACTAATGCTACTATGTTGTAAGTGCTACTTTGCCGCAATACTCTCACTTTACATCACTCCTACTCTAACTCCCACTCTCTCTCTCACTCCCACGCCCACTCCCACGCTCACTCCCTATTAGTTCCTATTCCCAAAAAGCCAAAGAATATAGTTTCCCAATTTCATTTAAATCAGTTCAGTAGTTTCAAAGTTAAAGCCGGACAGACAGACAGTTACTTTCGCATTTATAATATTAGTATAGATGTGTCGTTTATATAAGTAACATTTTAAAACAATAGCGTTATTTTCTAAGTGTCACGCTGTTAACATGAACAATATGAAAACAAAAACTTTGGCTTCACGTTGTTCAAACTGAAACAATATTCTTTTAGATGTTACAGATACTTAATGCTGCCTTGAAATGACTAGTCATCGTATGTAAAATGATAATAGCTATAATCATATTTATGTTCTAAAATTTAAACCACTCACAGTTATTTTTAAGTGTATACTAAACGTATTCACTAAAAATGAACGTTTCGAATGCTTTGCAGCATCCGTGGTCACGAAACGTCGGGCCGAAGTAAAAAATAAATTTCAAATAAGTTTAACTAATATATCGCGTTTTAAACCGTTAAAGTATTTTATTTAAATGTGTGACTACTCGCGTCAACTATAGACGGTATTTAAGTAAAGATTACTTAACTAACATTTTCTATATTTCCTTTAACACTGGGACTTCAAAAATTCTCTTCGAGTGAAATGTCATGTGGTTCTGTAAATCTTTAGTGACCATGAGAAACCGTTAAGTCTTCCATCAATATTGACTACGCCCACGTTTCCCGAGAGATAAGTGTTAGAAAAATAATTGTCTGCCACCTTTTCCTTAAAATGAATGAAGTTGCTTTTGTGACGGAAATGAGAGGAACACATTTATGTGTCTTTAGCACTAGCCAATTGTATTATTGGTTAGTAACTGACATCTTTTGTCTTAGCACTCCCTGACTTAACAATAAAACTTATTTTATCGGGAATCGAAAGTAGAACCTGACCCTAACCTATAAGAAAACAACGTTTTTACGACTGCGCTACACAATAATATCGAAGCTTAACAATTATTTGTGCATAAGTTTATATTTTGAACAAAACATATTGTTTATTATAATGTTTTCAATGCTTTATTTGTAATGGGCAAGATTTTCATTAATATTAAACTAATTAATGAAAACATATTTTATAATTTCTCTAATTTCAATTCGTAAAATTGATTTTTGCTGTTGCTTGTAGTGTCGTGCTGAAAGGTCGATAAACATATTTCCTCGTAAAAATTTGGGTAAAAATTTATAATATAGAAATGGTTATTTATATTTACAAACTTTTAATATTATCAATAGAACAGTCTATTTAAATTGATTATGTGCATATACATTATGCTACAGCTAGTGCATATACAGCTTATGTCTAGACTGTAATATATAAAGCTGAAGAGTTTGTTTCTTTGAACGCGCTAATCTCAGGAACTACGGGTTCGAATTGAAGTATTGAATAATAGAAGCGAAGATGCGCCGGGAAATGAAAACAAAACGGGGGAATTTTTCATCTCTGTGTGTTTCTGATGCGAACCCTGGGAAAACGGTTCAGGATAACTAAAAAATGTGCGTGAAAGAATTATTCCTCTTTAAATGATCTAAAAAAATGTCCGCAACACTACATGTCTAATTTATAAAGATGTAGAGGTTCGCAAAAACTAATTTGGATGCCCAAAACAACTATTCTGCGCGGACGAAGTCGCTGAGCACAGCTAGTAAGAAATATAATAACTTGAAGAAGCGAGTATGGCTTTGTTGAGTGATAAATGTAAGTCACAGATTAAACATTTCCGAATCGGAGATAGTTACTTATCTGATAGCAAACATTCTTTTGAACTCAACGTAATTTTGTTGGCAGCCCTACATAGTTGCAGAGAATTTGAATAAATAAAATGCCCTTGGCATCGTGACAAATACGCAGATAAGAATACTGTTATCGCGATCTACATATAACATAGTACATACTATGTTATGTAGGCATATAAAGAATAATTTTATTGTCACGACTTCACGAGTGGTATGTCGGTAACTGTTTAATATATTTATGAAGAACAAAATTGATTCATATTATAGTGTCAATAAAATCTTTATAGCAAAATATATTAAGTCTTATTCGTGTCTATTGGTTGAAAATTAATAGGTTTTACTGATATGTTTAAACATATCGGTAAAAAAACTTTTTTAATTTATATAAAAATTAATTGGTCTAGCCATTTTGTAGAGAAAGAGGCGCAAACTTCGAAACAACATAACATACTTAATGGTCTCCCCGTGACCACGGTTGCCGCAAAACGTGCGAAATATGAGGCCGTAGTTAAAATAATTTTCAAATAAGTTTAACTAATATAAATCGCATTTTAACCGTTAAAGTGTTTTATTTAAATGAGTACTACTCGCGTAATCTACAGACAGAACATAACATACTGTTCGCAATTAAATGTTTAGTAGTTTTATATATTTCCTTTTCCAGTTTTCGTGCTGAAAGCTCTCTCATTTACTAAAAGCGGACTTTAAAATTCGGACAGCGGAACAATTCCGCTCTATCGGACAATACGTAAAATATCGCCGTTTTATCCGCCAATAGACCGAACAAAGACCATCGATAGTCAATCGTACAAGAGAATGTACTTTGTAGCGAAAAGGTATAGACAAAGAGCTGGTCTATTCTAATGAAAGCTTATCGCGTTATATCAAAAAACAGCACCCGCGTTTATAAACTACACTTATTCTTAGTTACTCTTGTCTAATAAAAATTTGTTTATGGTTAATACTTTAGAACGATTTTGGTCACAATGCCGCACCCGCACATCTTGCGAGGTTCAATATAATAATAGCAATATTTGCAACTACTGTGACGAAAAAGGAGACATCGAACACATATTTTTAGAGTGTCAAAGCCCTATGTTTATTTTTCCTAGACTATTGGCAAGTGATATTATAGAAGCTAGTGAAACCTCCCGCCGCCAGTTGTGTAATTTACTTAACAAAAAGTGTTATAGTGTTATTATACAAATACATTAAAAACACTATAGGGTCTATATAAGAAGAAAAGTGTGAAGTGAAAATTTGACTTGGCTTAAAGGTCTTGTTACCAGGCCATTAAATATTTAAAAAAAGAACGATTTTTTTTTATTGCAGTTCTATAATTTTCCTTATTCCAACAGTTAAATCTTCGTTCGATTGATAATCTCCTTCTATTTGTTCCTAAACATAAAAGCTCTTTCTTCAATAATTCCGTCACAGTTAAAGCTATCCGTCTTTGGAACTCTCTTCCCACTAATATCAGAAAAGCTCAATCACTCCGTTCTTTTAAGAGTCTGCTGTATAAGTTTTACGTTTCCAATATTTAAGTTAGTTAGTTAGAATAGTTAGTGTTAGCTCTCCTACTCGTTGTGTGTACTTTCACTGTGTACCTTGATATTCTTTGTTATTCCTTACACCTACCCACGAAATATTTTTTTTCCTGTACTTCAGGTTGCCTGGAAGAGATCGCTGCTTAGCGATAAGGCCGCCTTAGTTAGCACATAAGATTTTTTCTCACTTATGTGTATTTTCTGTGGTCTGGTTTATAAATCATAAAGCAATAATAAATAAATAAAATAAATTTTTATTTGTTTTTTTATGAGTTAAAAGGTTCGATCCCGGGTAACTATAACTGACGGGACGGCTACTGATAGTGAAACCGACAATGGTGACTGTCAATGGACATTTCTATGTCCGTTGTCCGTTATGTAATGAAAACATTCCATTGACAAACCATTTTGAA